TTTTCGGAGAAAAAATATTTTTCATCCATCGCGGTTGACTAATGTGACAAAAAAATACTGTCTAGGTAATAAAGAAATACTGTGTTTTTTCAAATTGGTATATTTTTATAGAGTCGAACGATATAATAGTTTGAATAATTGAGTTTAACTTAGGAAGATTGTTAGAGAAGAGGTTCTTTTTACAAAAACCAAAATGAAAAGAAAATAGCTTTGTTGTATCGTAATATAATATATGCTAGTATTCTCCAACGAAAACTCTCATATTAGATTGCCATACTTTTCCTTAACGCATTCGATACGTACGATAGATACGTGCCTCATCATAGAAATATGTTTATTCATATATACATCACAATATTATTAATACAGTATATTTAACACACAGGATTGGTGAAGTTTTATACTTCAAAAAATATTTCTCCAGTTGTCTATAGTTCATCAATCTCCATACCCATCCCCTTCCCACATATCCCCACATATATTAACAGTAAGGCTCGAAATCGGTTTTGTACCAACTATAAGCTCCTGTCATGTTCAAATACCATGAATGGGTTACCGTTGGGTTCAAAATTTCACGGGGGGTTAGCTAATCGTATTCTCCACTTTCGTTTTTCTTTCGAAAATAGATAAAGTCGATACAAACATTTTTCTAGGCTTCAATAGGTGAACGGTGTTAGGTCTGTAGATTGATACGAGACAAATTGGACCTTGAAGATTTTGATGCGTACAGCAAGACCCAGATAGTTCCTTCGGAACTATCAGATCCTGCGTTGTAAGCCCAAAAACGTACTATCTTCGAGATAACACAAGGATAGGGTTCGCATCCACACAACCTTATATTAATTGTAGTACTGTACTTGAATACATGTCTCATTTCGTCGACTTGAGGCCTCTATGATCAAGAGAGGAGGAGTTTATATTATTTATCGATGGTGTTTTTGATCGGCAAGATATATCATCTATAATTCTTCACCAAATTTCAAGATTGAGCCACCAATTTCGGAGGCTTCCTTCTCCTTCAGGTGAGCAATATAGTCCAATCACCCCGAAAATTCAGGCAAACAACTTATGAAAAAAAATAACCTTTATTTGCGAATAACTAAAAAATTACACACTTTTCCCTAGATTACTAAATTCCCTACAAAATTGAAAAAAAAAATCATCGAAATCCAACAATTTTTAGCAAAGATCCAGATTATTAAAATTAGTAAACATGTTGGTCCCAAACATTAATAAACAGTTAAATTAATTTTTGTTTCCTTTGTCTATTATATTTATCGATAAAGTAACAATTGATTTCTTTATCTTTTGACACGTTGCATTATATTATTTTATTATTAATTTTTTCATTTGATAATAATATGCTGTGCGAATTTTTCGCACAGGCCCACTAGTAACAAATAATTACCACTGAAACCAAACTAAGCTGTTATTGCAATCAGGTTTTGAAATCGATAGTTGATTGTTCACAAACTCATTTAATTACTATTATATTTGAATTTGAATTTAAAAATAATCCCTGATTTACAAATAAAAATTTAAATCTATCTTTGGTATTTATTGATTCTAAATCGAATTTTGCGATGGTGAACTTAGAATTTAATTATATTGAAAAGTTTTTGAGCAATAAATTTCTATTAAAAAAAAATGTGACCACCTTAAGAAAAACATAAAATTGGTCTTAACTTCTTTTCCGTTAGGAATCAAGTGAACTTTTTTGTAGGAAACGTTGCTAGAATCACCCTTCAGAGTTTGGGCTAGATAACCTGTATAGTGTACATTATAAATGAAAACAAATAATTTTTCAAGCAACACTATAATTATTTTTTTTATAATCTAAAAATATCAAAATAGATTTTTAAGAAGAAAAAAAAACTAGCCTTAAGGTATATTCAGTAGATTCCAATTCAGAAGTTACCTTCTGTCAACTGGACTAAAAACCGAAAATTGAATTAACGTTAATAGAAGGAGGAAATATTGAAAATATGTCATTTTATGCCTTTTCCCTTTGCAATAATTCTATTTTACCAATATTGTCAAATATTAACTGTATCTACTTGACACTACGATTTTTTGATGACATAAAACGCAATTAAAATGAAAACAGAAAATTCCAAAAAAATAATTTATGTAATATGAATTTATAAAGCTTCGGTTATTTTCAGTTCGAGTTAACTCGTCATTACACTTGCATTATTAGAGGTGACATCAAACAGTCAATTGCGGGTCAACACTGTGTAATTTTCCTTATTAAATAAGTAATTTTAGTTCTATTTTATAATGAAATAAAGTCTTTAAAAAATGTATTTAATTATTAGCTCATCAACTGATGGTGAATATTATTGCATATCGTTTGTGCCTCGGCCCAATGTACATATATATATTTCTAATTATTATCAATATTCTAATTTGTATATTCAATGTATGCATATATATATATATATATATATATATATATATATATATATATATATATATATATATATATATATATATGTATATATATTGCATATAAATATAAATTGAACATTGATTGAATATAAAAATTAGAATATTGATAATAATTAGAAGTTACCTTCTGTCAACTGGACTAAAACCGAAAATTGAATTAACGTTAATAGAAGGAGGAAATATTAACTATTAATATTAACTAATAATTATTAAATATTAAGTTCCTACTCCTTGTGTATTTTTTTTTTTTTTTTTTTAAGAAGTCATCTTAATAAATAAATAATTTATTTTTTACAATTCGGTCTTCTGGCCCACATTTAAGCACAATTTATTCTGGTTAATATTATCTATCAAATAAATTTTTGTTTGGGTCAAAAGGTTTTTTTTATTATATATTTTGGAGATAATATTAACTAGAATAAATGGTCCTTGAAGATGAACCAGGAACCCGCAACAAAATTAATAAATTATTCATGAACGGGACAGGTGGCCTTTGAAAAAAAACAAACAAAACAGTTAAAAAATTAGCAACCAGTAAAATGTTCATATTAAAAGAAATTTTAATAAAAGGAAATTATATTAAGGTTTGACAATTACAAAATTATATATTCTGACGATAAAAGGTTTAAGTCCAGCCTCATTTGGTAATATTTAATATTAAATAATTATTTATAGCTTATTGACAGCGTATCGTTGAAATTAATTCAAAATCGCCCATACTTCGAGGAATTCGCCAGCGGCTGGTTCAGTTCAAACACAAGTTGAATAATTTATATCGTTTAATAGCTTTCTCCCTCTGATGGGGCAGCTCTTGGTTTTTATAAAAGTAAAAAAAATATATATATACATAAATGCGATGTCATTTTATCTGCGCTAAAAAATATATACATTAAAAATCATTTAAAAAAATAAAATATTGTCCGAATGATGCAGAGTTTGAATCGTGTTTCTGTATTAAATACTCAGAAAATAATTAATTTAAATTTCTATTAGTATATTGATTAGCAAATCTGAATCAGATTTATAAATATCATACAGCTCTTAAACAGATGGAAAAGAAAATTAAATATTATCGATTGTTAATGATCGATAATATTACTTTTATTCAGTAAGGTCGTATAGTCAGTACTTTGTAATGAACTGATAATATCTTCTTTACCGCTTACTGTACATGGGGAAGATGTGGTCAGCATTAATTATAAACAGTTAAAATATCTTAAAAATCAAAAAGGTTCCTAAAATAATATTAATCCATTGAATTGCTAAGCTCCTATAAAAACTAAAATAAAACTTAAATAAATAATGAACATTATACAAAACAAGGAACGTTTTAGTTAGCAGGTAATTGAATCATTTAATTTAAAAACATATATTTTAAAAAGTAGGTATTTCGCCATATCAAAATTAGAGAGACGAATGTCCCATTCGCAAGTTAAAGGTTAATAATTTACTAAAGCAAAATACATCCTTTATCTTTTTCTCAATCGAATGATTTCAACCTCTTTCTTGGTAATTGATGAATGCTTTTAGATTCTGACCTAAGGCGAGCTGTGTAGCTTCTTACCTACAACACTCATGTGTCATCCAAAATAGTATTCTCTTACCAGTTTACAGGTTGAGATTGCGGACGGCGTCACACATTTCCACGAAACTTTTCTTGGGTAATACTTGGTTGAAAAATATTAGGTCCATATCCCATGATTCTTGCCAATATATGAGCAATATATATATGAGCCATGTTTTCTGACTTTCCTCTGCATGGATTTCTAAGTTATTATATATCAATCGACCTTTTTTTTGTGTGTGTGTGTAAAATAAAAAGAATCATAATAACAATTATATTAAACAAATTCTAATTATATTAAAAATTATAAAAACCCAAAGACGCTACTAGTACTAACGCTACTAAGTAAGCTAAGAAAATTTCTATCACGAAAAAACGATTCAAATTCGTTTATAGCATTCCATTAAATTCTTAATTATTTTGTATACAATTTTTCATAATACATAGTAACTATAATATGAGATTTTCTTTTTTTTATGAAATTTTTTTTCATCTATATAAATTATGAAGGATTAGAGAGGGCATAGATAATTCGCGCTGAATTAATTAAGATATGTTTTTATCTATGGTAATACAGACCAACTAAGGATAACGCTTATAGTATTTCTAGGTTTTTTGTTCATATTTTTCATATATTTTTTTCCCACCTTCCTTCCCCGTTTTTCTGTCCATTTCTTATAATCTTGCTTCTTTTCCTCTACTACAGGAACCTTTATATTCCTTACTATTTTCCCCTATCGTTCCCCATCTTGTAAGTCATCCTTACAATTCATGTAAGTCATCTGTAATGTTCTAATTAATGTTTTTCGATTTTGACTAGAATATTGATATTTTTATCTAATGCATTATAATTTCTATTCATATTGCAAACAAAACTTATCGCTATATTTCACGAGAAACGAAATGAAGAACAATTGTTAGCTTACTAATCAGAAGAAAAAAATAATTTACTACACAATGGTTTAGTTTACAAAGTTTGTGCTAGAGTGGAAATGAGATTGTAAAAATATATGCAGTGGAAATATATATGGCAAAACTTTGCGCCATTAGGTTTAGGCTTAGAACTTGGGAACAAAGCGCTAGATCATAAAGTCACAGATAGAGGAGGCCATGTTCATTAACAGGAGGCAAGACCTGGACCATTAGCGACCACGATAGTAGCAGCTGTACAATATCGATGACTGTTGGGGAGGGAAAGGGAGGAGGAGCGCGTCGAATCGATTAGGCGTACTATCGATAGTATAATATGGACGGGCTGAGATAAGGAGGGGGCCGTGAGACCCGTGGGAGGGACCCACCTGGGGCACTCCCCCTTCAAGAATGGAATTTTCTAAACGGATTTTGTAATGAGTCTAAACCGATTAGAAGGAACTGTCGTCCTCTCCCCGGACGGATAATGAGCTCTATTGGTGCAGCTTACGGGGTCTGGTGTACTGCAGGGCTTAATGTTGAGCGGTGATTTCCTCTTATGTTCACTGTTATGTTCTGTACTTTAGAGAATCTGTCTAAATTAACTCGTTAGGGGTGAGAGACAGGTGCTTTCAACGAGGCCGTCCGCCGATGTTACGGCATCACTTATGCAATCAGGACATTTTTCTCCCAAAGTAGAATTGTTATTAAGGAAAATACAGCAGATATTACTCTCTAAACTTACCGTGATTAACTATTCTCGATGGCTTAGGCTAAATTTATTACGAATAATTCATAAATAGACAAATGCTCAGGTTTAAAATATTTTTCAAAAGAGTAGTTTAGTCAGTTTACGACATCAAAATAAAAATCCGATTTGGTTTTTACCTATGTCTTCAATATTGATAACAAAACATTCCCAAATATATAAAAAAGGCTTTACTAAAAAATGATATCGTAATTTTATAATTAGTATAATTATGCTAGTAAATATTTTGTAAATAACAACAAAGGATTAGGGAAAAAAACTGAATGCCAGTTTCAACCATTTGGGGCATTATTTTAAAACTTTTTTTAAAAATTTATTAATAATCTTTTTATTGGAATAAAAATAATACAATCTGTCAAAATCAACGGCATTGGTCATTAAGGCTCTATGTGTACATTTATACTATTATAAACAAATTGAGAAAAAAAAAATAAGAAGAAAATATCTAAGTAAAAAAAATATACAATAAAGTAATAACAAAAATATAAGATACTTGTAAAAAGAAATAGAAAAAAATGTATATTGAAAGGATAATAAAAAGAAAAAAAAATACTATTTTAAAATAAAATATATTTTTTGTATATTATATTTTAAGAAGCAAAATACAAAATATATTGTTTGTAAACTGAATTTTCTTTTTTAAATACAAAATAAAAATATTTTCATTGTCTTTCCAAGATAAATGCAAACAAATATTTTATTTTTTATTTTAAATACACAGGATTAAGTAGGTTCCCAATAATTAAACAAATCATTAATAATTTATTCGGAATTTTTTAAATGTATATTCACTGTCTTCCAATATTTTCTTCACAAAAATATACATATTATTTAAGAAATTAGTTGTAAAGCACAACTAAATGAGACTTTAGTATTTAGTAATTTTTTTGCATTTAAAATATTTTGAAAAATGGCTTCTCTTTTAATACTCATTCTAAAAACAATTTACTTAGTTTGTAATTAAAATACACTACATTTTAAAAATACAAAAAAAGTTGGTATTCAAAATTCTATATTGTAATATAACTTATCGGGTTGCCAATAATTGTCATAGAACTACAGTAAGAAAAGATGACAAGATTCTAAAAATATTTACTTATTCTATTTTTGGGACATAAAAAGTGCTAAAATGTAATACATTTTAACATTTTATAATGCAGTTAAAGTAATTGAAATTTATATCAAGTTTTAGCGGAATCTTAAGTTATTAAGAAGATACCATAAACAATTATATCCGTCCACTGAGCCAGTCAAAACCGAATGCTGCAAGGTCAAAGTAAGCATTACTAACAAATACTTATGGGACTTTGTGGAAGTTAACCCACCGATTAAAATTTTATAGATTCATACATAACCAAGACTAATTATCATTTTGATTTATTTACAAAAATATTAAAATATTCATTATTACTAGAGAATTACAATAAAATTGTAATGATACTCAACCTTGTTGAGTTACTAACTGACACAGCGTACTAATCCATCTAATTGACAATATCTAAGCATTCAGCTTGATACACTTCTAATATAAAAATGTCATCTGTTGTTTCGTTTCTTTTCTCATCCTCATTCTTCTCAATTCTGTCACCCGAAACCATAAAGCAATGAACTGATTTAATAGAGGTAATGGTGCAGGATTCCCAGCGAGTCCAAAAGAATGGACTCCGCCATAATCTGTCCGCCATCTCATTCCTTTCAACACCCAGCTTTTCCAAAAACTAGCAGTTGAAATAGGAATAGCCATTCTACTTCCAAACAAAATTCCTCGTACCAAAAAATGTCTCTCTATATTTCTTTTTCAGGAACGCAATGCATATTTTTATCTATTTCCTAATTCACAATATAAATTTTGAGATCTTTCTGCTCATCGTTCGTATCATATATAATTTTAGGATCGACTATAAGAGTCTTATTTCCTTATGCCCTAGGCTAAGAACTACGAGTCTGTGAACTTTACTGAGCCTTCCGTATCCAATCTTCGAGAAAGAATCTATAATTTTTCGTCACCAGGAATTTGGATATTCGATAAATTAAATTATTGTGCCCTGGGCTGACCATGTATTTATTGCCCTGTATGTTTTCTCGAATTGAAACATGGACTGGCAGAGTTCAATTCCAACAATGTTTTAGGATTAGAAAATCAGAATGAAAGCGAATAAAGGGAGAGAAGAAAAGCTTGGACAAGATAGGTCATCAGGCCTATGAAAATTTTAGGTGCTCTCCACTTTTTGCCAGACCGAGCTGAATTAATAATAATGGGGGTCGGAACAGCCGACGTTGAGGGACAGGGGTGAGAATTGTTGGGGTGGGGTATGACCTCAGGTATTTGTACTGGGTTCAAAAAGATGGGTTCATTAAAATTTATACTATCATTTGTAAGTTACTATTGTAACGATCGTGCATCGTTTTGATCATGTAACGTTTTTTAAATTTATTTATTTATTGAATATTACATTCTGTCACTTAGACATTTGGTATAGTGAAGTAAGATCACATTCAGACTGTATGTACGAAACAATATAAAATAAACAAAGCAAAATAACAACTAAATAATAATTAAAAAGTATATACAATAAATAAAATAATTTAAAAAGAAGGAAATTAAAAAAAAAACGTATAAATACCTATATTATACGTGTTCATTAAGCTAGAACATTATTTTTTTCACTATTAAATAGGAAACTCATTCAATTTTCATATGCATAATTATACATAAAAGAATAAAATACCTAAACAAATTTTTTGGGGGGAGGGCAATTAAAACCTTAGGTGAACATGTAATTAACACGAAACATTTTACGAGTAATTACACTAAATCAATTTTATAAGTAATCAGTAGTTTTGTGAAATTCAGAGTGGTTTATAAAAACGAAGGGTGGTTAAAATAGACAAAGATTATAAACTTATTTTTTATAATTAAATAAAATATAAGACTAAACATTTCAGATGTAACTATTTATCTTAAATAGTTAAATCTACAACATTTAAATATTTAAATTTAAATACATTAACAAAAATTCCTGACTAACAAAAAGAAAAAAAAATTCTTCTCGTCTCGATAAAATTGACGAACAAATATTTTACCGATAGTTTGTGGACAAGTGGCACAGATGCCGTTAAAAAATAATTATATGCTAATTTCCCTTTCTTTCTTTTTTAAGTATGCCTCTCTTTATCGGCTTCCGCCATAAGAGATCGTGCAGCCCAGTACCATTCCAATTGGTATCTCTTATGTTCACGAAGCGCGATCATACACGTAAATGCGCTGTGTCCATATTTAATCCCGAATTAAAAAGGTTGCAATGTGGAGATTCTGCCCCTCCTGTGTTTCCTAAGGTAATTGTGGCATGTTATCATCCGGAACTCTGCCACAGCTTCCTTTCTCAGGAGGTTCATGGGGACTCGATCTGCTTCATTTAACAATTTTCTCCAATGCTTTCCAGCAATATAGCTCTTTACGGGATCCAGTAGTAGAGCCTTGCCTTATGTATTTATTTTTTGGCTCTACGATATGATATTCTATTTTCTGGCTGGTTCAATGAGGAGCACTCCTTCGCGAGTTTAACAGCCATTTCGTTTCCATGGAGACCGCAGTGAATTGGTATCCATTGAAAGAATTCCTCTGTTCCTTGAATAAGTAGTTCCCTTATGATATTTTTGAGAGAATAACCGCCTTTGAATCCAGAAACAATACGAGGTTTTTGGCATCTAAGTGTGATAAGGCTTGTAGTGCCAATAAAATTGCTCATATTTCGCTATCGAAATTTGAGTCCCATTTTCCAACCGTTTTCGAAATAGCAAACAGTTGAGAGTATGCATCTGCCCCTCCAGTGGGTGTTGCTAGTTCGGCAGATCCATCGGTGTACATATGAATCGACGAATAGCTGGGATAACGTTCAGCAATCGTTAAATATATGCTAATGCAAAATACAAAATACAAATTTTAATTGTTATATTTTTTGGGATGTAAATGGGTCAAGAAAATTTGTTAATTGCTATTAATTAATTAATAGAAAAAAAACCAGAACTTAATTAATGTGTTAACATGAATTTTTTTAGGGTTATATTTTTTTATTGGTTGCTTTTGTCTATATTCTTCTTCTCTTCAAAACAGTCGGCTGATACGCCTTTACTGTTAATTAAATTCAGTCGCAAATTTTAATAAATGCTGACAACAAAAGTGAAAAATGGCATTTTGTTGCTTCGCAAGACGGAAAAGGGGTATCGGTATATAGTACTTAAAAAGTGTTAAGATAAAGCCTGGAGCCTTTCGGTTTTTCCTCTTTTGTTCTTGCTTTTATTTCGCGGAGGGTTTGTGTTCACGTCCGTTACCGGTCACGTTTCGGATAAAAGAGATAACATTTTTCTCTTAGTTCGTTTTTCTCTCGATTCAGAAGTCAGAATAATTCTTGCTTCTACATCCTATTCCTTATCCCCGTCTCCTCATCCACCAATAACTACCAGAAATACTCTAATTGCGAAAGAAAATCACCAAGTATTACCAATTAGCAGCTGTCAAATTATTTTAAGATGCCTATAATAATCCTAATTGAAATTATATATTAATACCATATCGTATTGAAATTAGATTTTTCGATTTGCGAAATATGATAATTATGTGCAATCAACAAAATAAAAATTATAATCTGGTATGTGAATAAAATTCTAGTCTGAAGATGGGATAATAAAGTGGATCCCGAAACTTCATAAAAATAAAGAAACTTTTTTTGGGATTGTAAACTGTTAATTAACTCTATTCATATACCTTATATAAATAAATCTCCCTTAGGAATTATGAACAAATTAT